ACACCGTAGGTCACAATGTCATGTCTCAGCCCTTGGAGAATTGAAGAACATGAGTATTGTTTTATTTAGTGATTAGACCGAACCCCAATGAAGGGTTGCCTACGTATCCTATTAGGAATCAGGTCGAACGTAGTTCAATGAAATCTTTTTATTTTTTTTATTTTTTTTATTTTTTATATATATATTTTTTTTTTATTTTTTTTTTTATTTTCCTTTTTTTATTTTTATTTTTTTAGCACCAGACAAGTAGTGCTTGAAATAAATGAGGATACATTTTTATCCTCTCATCTTGAGAATGTCAATCACAAGAGTGCCATAACAAAGAGTGTTAGACGTAGTATCTTTTGATCGAATCTGCGTTGACAATTGTGTCGATCGCCTTTCCCTCCATATCTGCCAGTTCCAAAGCTCCTTTTGATAGCACTTGTTTAATAACATAAGGGCCTTGCCAATTTGGGGCAAACTTTCCTTTGGCCTCGTCTTGATGGGGAAGGATGCGTTTCACAACAAGTTGACCGACTTCAAAATTTCTTGGGCATACCTTTTTGTTATAGGCTCGAGCCATCCTCTGCTGCTATAATTGACCAAAGCAAATTGAGCTCAGCCGTTTTTCGTCTAATAGTGCTAATTGTTCTAACCTTGATTTAACCCATTCCGTGTCCTCAATTTCTGCTTCGACAATGATTCGAAGAGAAGGGATTTCAACTTCTGCGGGTATGACAGCCTCAGTTCCGTAAACCAATAAGTAAGGAGTTGCACCGACTGACGTACGAATAGTCGTGCGATATCCCAACTGAGCAAAGGGTAGTTTTTCATGCCACTGTCTAGATCCTTGCACCATTCTCCTAAGAATCTTCTTGATGTTTTTATTTGCTGCTTCAACAGCCCCATTTGCTTTGGGTCGATAAGGGGTTGAATGACGATGAACAATTTTAAATTGCTCACAAACTTCCTTCATCAGGTGGCTGTTGAGATTCGTTGCATTGTCCGTAATAATGATTTTTGGTATGCCGAAACGACATATGATGTTTGAATGAACAAAGTCCACCACTGCTTTCTTGGTGACTGATTTGAATGTGACAGCTTCCACCCACTTGGTAAAGTAGTCGATGGCAACTAAAATAAACCGATGTCCATTAGATGCTTTCGGCTCAATCAGCCCAATAACGTCCATTCCCCAAGCCACAAAAGGCCACGGAGCAGACATAGGGTGCAACTCTAAAGGGGTGAGTGAATCAAGTCGCTATGAATTTGGCACTGATGGCACCTGCGAACAAATCAAAAGCAATCTCGCTCCATGGTCAACCAATAGTACCCTGCCCGGATAATCTTTTTTGCTAGAACATAACCATTCATGTGAGGGCCGCAAACCCCTGAATGCACCTCATTCATAATTGTTTATGCTTCATGAATATTCACACATCGCAATAGATTCAAATCTGGAGTCCTTTTATATAAGATATCACCACTCAAGAAGAAGCCATTGGTGAGTCGTCTAATAGTTCTTTTTTTATCTCTATCAGCATGTATTGGATATTCTTTAGTCTTTTAGAAACCGTTTAATGTCGTGATACCAGGGCTCACCGTCTGGCTCTACTTCAATTATATTGCAATAACCATGTTGATCCCTAACTTGGATTTCCAACGGGTCAATATAGGGTATTACCCGGGTATGGAAGCATCGAGGCTAGGGTGGCCAAAGCATCAGCTAACTCATTGTGAAACCTGGGTATGTATCTAAATTCAATGGACTTGAACATTTTGATGAGGTTTTCTAAACATTGTTTGTACGGCATGAGTTTAATGTCTCGAGTCTCCCATTCGCCTCGAGCTTGTCGAATGAGCAAATCGGAATCCCCCAAAACCAACAACTCATGCACATCCAGATTTATTGCCATATTCAAACCCATGATGCAAGCTTCGTATTCTGTTGTGTTGTTGGTAGAAAAGAATCGAAGTCGTGCTGTGGCAGGATAATGACATTTGTTTGGTGAGATAAGAACTGCCCCAATTCCTACTCCATTTTTTGTTGACAGCCCCATCAAACTATAATGTCCACACGTGACCATCATCAGGAATTTATTCCTCAATAGAGTTGATTTCTTCATCAGGGAAGTATGTCCTTAGGGGATCGTATTCGTCATCGACCGGATTCTCTGCCAAATGATCGCCCAACGCTTGTGCTTTCATGGCGATGCGAGTGACATACACAATATCAAATTCCGTAAGCAA